AGGGCTGTTTGCAGTACAAAATCACCTGTGATATTGCACTTGTTACACTGCTTTTTAATTTTATTTTTGCAATTAACGTTTAGATGTTCATCCATGCCCAGTGGAGGACTATACATTTCACATTGCTTGTAGAGAATTGTAATCACATCTGAACTGGAATATCAATATAGCTGTGTTTCTAATAATTTTTTTAATCAGGCTCTTACATGATGCATTAATCTGAACCTCTAATTTCTTATAAAGGGTTCACCTTCTGTCAGCGTGTGACAACTAAAGAATATGAAGATCAAAAACAACAAATGAACCAGTATCTTCTCGCATTGGTTCGAGAGATGGACAATGACCCCAGTGTTCCTTTGAAGCAGAAGAAGAAATTAATTAAAGAATTACGAAAATACCATTCTCTCATCTATTGTAGTGGCTGTAAAATTAGATGTGAATTTTGTACTCAAAATGGTTAGACATTAGTAGAACCTTCTTTTTTTTTTTTTTAAAGAGGGGGGATGCATATGAAAATTGCATGGTTACAAACCATTTTCTTCTTATGTCCTTACATCTTCAGTTAGAGGAAACTGCAACTATCAAAATTACTATGCTGCTAAAAATCATTAGTTCTAATTAATGCCTTTTTCAAGCAAAAGGTACTTAATTACTTTAAAGTTGGTAATAATGGCATACTGCTTGTGCTGCTTCGAGTTCAGGGTTTGGCACTTTTTTTCTTTTGTCCTGCAACTCCATGACTTTCTAGCTGAGACATTCAGAGCCATGTTTGGGTTGATAATCAGTAAGGTGTTTGATCTTTTCTCTCTGTAATTGATAATCTAACTGTAATCTAATCTTAAAACTGGAGACTATGACTCCTATGAGTATTGTAAAAGTGTACAAAGTATGTCAAAAATGTTAGGAGCAGGTCAGTGGGTTTTGAATCTGTAGCAGGCAAGGTGCATTAGACAGGGAGCTGTGTGTGCTTGCAGTCGGTAATTATAGCTTGTTGCTCCTTCCCCATTCTGTCAGGCTGAGCCGCTGCTAATTCGGCAGTTACAAAAAAGCAAGTAAAAAATTACATTTAAAAAAAACTTGAGAAATAATAGTCTCATTTTAGATCTCTTAGTGTGCTTAAGCAATTCATTTTGACATGAGGATACTTTTGGTAATGTGCAGTTATTTGTCATAAATCCTTTGAGAGCGTTTATGGATTTGTAGGGCAAAGCTAGAAAGCATGTTGGCCTGTCTTGACATATTGATGGCTAACTGTACATTGCCAAGGAAATGTTGATTCAAATCATTAAATAAATATGCAATATAATGTTTAGGGTTCAATTACTTCCTCCATCCTCATGGCCAGCACTTGATCATGTATTGGACATAGAAACGTAGAATTGAGGTTGGAAGGGACCTCTGCTCTAATTCCAACACCCAGCTCAAAGTGGAGTCAATTAGCGCAGGCTGCTCAGGCCCTTTTCCAGTTGAGTTTAGAGTATCTTCAGGGATAGAGATACCACCACCTCTCAGGTCAGCCTCATCCAGAATTTGAGCACTCTCACAGTATTTAAAAAATAATTATAAACCCCTTACATTTAAGTAGAATTTCTTGCATTTCAGTTTGTGCCCGTTGCCTCTTGTCCTTTCACTAGACACCACTCAAAGTGTCTGGCTCAGTCTTCTTTACCTCCCCACCCTGAGCCTTCTCTTCTCAAGGCTAAAAAAGTGCAGCTCTCTCAGCCTTTTCCTTGTATGACAGATGTTCCAATCCCTTATTTTTTTTCATGGCCCCTTTGCTGGACTAGCCCCACTATGAGTGTGATTTTTATTGTGAATATACTTCTTTAGGTATCTACATCCTCAGCTGCTCTTCAAAGGTATGGTCAAGTTACCAGGATACCAAAGCTTTCTTAAAACAAGTGCTGTTTTCTTTTATAAATTGAAATTGTTACACCGTTAGATATAACCAACTAGGTGTACAGGTAATGGGTTTTGTTAACTTGCATTGCATTTCGAGTAGCCTTAATCAAGTGACCTGGCCCTATTAGAAGTCAGGGAATGTAGTTGGAATCTCTGTCCACACATCCCTGGTTATGCACCTGTTTTTCACACTGGACAGTCACTGTTAAATAACTTCTGGAGGAGGAAAAAAGACCAAGTTTAACCTTTCAGAGGTGAATGCCCTAATTGTTAAGACTCCAGGGCCACACAATGTTTTTCTATCCCTGGGTGGGTGTTTTGGTCATTCTCCCAGAAAAGGGAGCATGTACAGAAGTAGGTATTGAGAACGGTAAACAGGAAAGTATTTCCTGGTTAAGTGCTGCTGGTGTCGAGTAGTGGGAGAATTGGATTTTCATTTGGTTTGGGTTTTTTTTTCTGTTTTTTTCCCTTCTCTGTTTTCAGTCCCTTTACTAGGTCTCACTCAAAATACAGATGCTGGTAACAAGGAGGGATGATAACATGTTAATTTATAGGATAGATAGACTGGGAATTGCTTTGGGAAAAACTGTATTTAAAAAAAACAAACCACCAAACAAATTCTTGCACTTTGTGACATGATTAGAATTTTCATGTGCTAATTTAAAGATGACAATAAAGCACTGCATAAAAAGTGATGAATCAGTCTGTCATTTCATAGTGCCCTTACAAGGAAGAGGCAGCTCAGCAGGTGTAGAATCAGGTATCAAACAGTAAGGAAATGCTTCAAGTGGACCACTGCGGTTTATAGCTGCCAGCTCCTTTGCTTCAGTTCATGAAACAAGAAGTCAAGATTGATCTAGTTCTGCAAAGGAAAGGAAGAGCTCTTGAGAGCCCTATTTTATTACTGTTTTTCATTGTTATGCTTTCAGTTACATTCCAAAATTCAGGAAAATTTTATCAAGCTTTATAAAGTTTTATCACTTGTTTTTAACATTTGACACAGAATCATCTGGTATGGAAACTTTGGCCCCTCACTCATTTCTACTTACGATTTCTAGCGTAGAGCTATCAAATTACTTGCCAGTATGAATTTGAAGTACAAAATTTCCAGAGTAAAGAATTTAATCCAGAGCTACTTTTCAGTACAGTCTTAGCAAGGAACAAGCAATGCCCCCTTCAAAGTAAGGAGACTTATTTCTATTCGTAAAGCATTCATGTTTGCTCCTAACAAGGAAAAGGTTCATTGTTGTTTCTATGGGAACAATGCACATATTTCCTTTTTAAGTCTCAGCTAAAGCATGCAGGTAATCTTGTGAAGCAGTTATTTACAGAACTAGGGGCCAGACACAAGGGCCTTTACGTGTGGATATCAAAATAAGTGTACTAGACTTATTGGAGTGATGCTCTGTATTTTCTTACACAGTAATACAACAGCTATATCCAAGAATTTGGAGGTGGTGTTCTCCTGCATTAATAACCTATCTGCCTCCTCTATGGCTTGTGTAGCTATTAACAGGAGGAGGAGGGTGTATCTTCCCTTCCTTTCAGCAGTTTAGACTGGAGGAAAGCCACCATAAGCTGGCAGTCCAGAGTAAAAAAGATCATATTCAAGAAGATCATCCCCCAAAACTATTTAATCAGGGCAGCTCATTATCAAGATTTGCCATTCTCAGGAATGCTGGCTTCTCTTCTGTATTGCCCTTATGCTGAGACCTCTGGGTAGCAACAGAAGCAGCTCATGTGAATCCAGCATGTTGATCAGAACAACATGGCTCTAACTCCGCGTATTTTTCTGAAGTAGAAAAGAAAGGGAAGCTGGAGATGAGGACATCTCTGTATCTTAATGCTATCAATGGTCCTGGGGGCTGGTGGCATACACCTTTTTTTTCCTCTGTTCACAGCTCTGACCATTCAGCTACATCAATTACTACTACATCTTGGGTCACAGATCATCACAAAAGAGCAATTTAGAGAATATAATAGTATCTAGTTGTGCTTCAGAGTGCCCCTCTCTGTACCTTACCAAGGACCCTCGAAGGGGCATGAAACCCAGTGAAGTCTCTGCATAATCCCTGCCATCAATTGCCTAAATCAGTCAGTGCTCTTTGTTCCAAGCTCGGTAAGTGTATTGCATCTAAGTATACTTACTGGTTTTACACAGGGGCAGACAAGAGCAGGAATATGAGACTTCACCTGAGAATAGGATACTCCTCTGCAAATCTGAGACCACCGAGTATCACCAGCCCAAATAAGAGGGCAATTCTCCTGGGGCTGCATGAGGTCAAGATCAGTGTCAGCACCCGTGTGTCCATTATCCACCTTGTGCGAGTGCCTGCCTCTGTCCTGGCAACCAAGCAAGCCAGGTGGGGCACCCGCTCTTAGCACAGCCCTCCGAGGCTTCTATCTGGCTCTTGCCCCGTACTGTTGCTCTTTCCCCTCCTGCATGCAGGGCTGCACAGACTGATGGTACAGTTACAGAGCTTTTGATGCCACCTTTGCTCTGTAAACAGAAATAACAGGTACAGGCTGGGGGCATTTGTGTTTTTCTGGAATGCATGGATAGGACACAGATGGGATTACACAGGACACAGCTGCAAGCTTTGCTCATCTCAGACAGCTTCTCATGTCACCTTTCCAATAAGGTGAGGGGAGTGGCAAGAAGCTTATTTGCTCAGCCATTCCTTAAAACAAACACCAAACAAAAAAAACCACCACACTACCTACTAACCCCAAACCCCTTTTAAAAAGGAATTGTTCAAATTACTCTTTTCTCAAAGCCTAGGCATACTTTCAATAGCTGTGGTCACATTTCAAGTATATTCCTCTCATGGCTATTCACTAAAATAAACAAAAAACTGACTTAATCCTTTTCAGGATGGGCAATCTCAAAGATACTTTTTGACATGTGATTAGTGTCCAGTCAATTGAATGTACAAGTTACAATAATACAAATTTTGAAAAAAAACCAAATCACCTTATTTCTTCTCACTGTGTATTAGTGTCACACCAGTACAAACACTCAATAATTTTATTGCCCCATGCATTGAGTTTTCTGCAATAAGAATACAACGAAGCTAAAATGAACATATTTCATAGTATTAGGCTTGTAAAACTTTATTTTTAAACTCTGAAAATTATTTTTTACCAACCCACATAAGTACAGGAAAGCTAAAACACAATCCTAACTGTCAGAGAACAGGCGGTACTTGAAGAGTGCCATTCTGAGTAAAACAATGGAATAACAATGTATCCAACTATGCTACCTATATATCAAATTTCTCTTCACAAATATTGTGTCCATGTTCTTCATAATCTTCTCTAGTTACTACCATGTCTTCAAAATCGTCATTTTCAGAAATGAGCTTCCCACCTTCCCAAGAATAAGTGATAGGGCTGAAAAATTAACAAAGTTATTGTTACTAATCTCTAAATTCAGTTAAAATACAAGTAACCAGTCATGACTCCCAAAACTTTTATTTAGCCATACTTATTTAAAAATCCATTTTTGATTACTAAATCAAACCATCCAGCTCCAGATAAGTCTGAAATTTTAGCAGGGCTAACCGACTCTGCTTTTTATAAAAAGCAAGTGCCTCTTTGGAGGCAGGTGTGAAAAGGGCAGGAAGAGGAGATGTCTTTGTATTTACTTTGCACAGATAATGATTCTTTAATAATATTTTAAAATGCTCTTTAATACTTTTTTAAAAAGTAAAGATTTTTTTGTACTTTCAAGATATACTTGTTTTGTCTCAATTGTATATTCTTTCGCTGCAACTTACAAATCCCTGAAGTGGCTACATTAATAATGATAAGGCAGCATTCAGATGCTGAAACTTCTTCTAAGTAAAAGACTAAACTCCGATCTTGCATACTCATTATTCACTTAATGACAATACAGTCTTATTTATCTGTTTACAATAAAAAGACTGCTCCTGAAAGCACATTCTTACATACTTAACTTTATAGAGACCACCTGCTTGCCCTATGCTTTGGCTAATAATGTATTCGGTTTGTCTGAAAATGCATGGATTTAAAACATTCTTCTTGTACAATTTTTGGTTCACTTAGTATTTACATTAACCCCTTTAGTCAATCTATCTTTTTAATCAGCAAAAGAAATGCTACTTTATAGTTTGTTCTGCTTGTTCTGTACAGTTCAGAACTTACTTTTCAGGAAGAACAACGGAAACATCATAATCAGTTGGAGTAAGACATCGAACTTCAGAATACACCCGATCCCTGAAGCCCGGAAAAAGGGTGTTTCCCCCAGTCAGAACTATGTTCTTGAAGAAATGAGGCTGCATTTCTTTAAAACAAATAAGTAAATCTGTAGTTAGAGACTAAATATACATTTTTTTTCCCAATTTTATTATTAATTGGAACAGAAGAAAGAAATATGCATAGAAGAATTTTATGATCATCTAATGATCCCATCAGTTAAATAGTTTTATTGAGAAATACAGAATCACAGAATCACAGAAT